GTAGCTTAACCCAAACATCGAGTGGAAGGTGACGAGGATAACTATAAAAACATTGATTGAAAATTGTGTTATACAGTATTACCTGCAACAATATTATATATTAATATTGTTATATTTCCAGAATTACGTGCATAATAATTTTTATCGGCAAATAAACATAGATTAGTTATATAAAGAATAAAATTTGAATCGGAATGCTCATGATTTTTTACAAGAAAAAATGAGCTGTTCAAAATATTTTTCTCTAAAAAAAATCACTCGAAAAACCGGGGTTTCCTTCGAATCAAACATTTTAATTCTGTGTAAATGCACGGAGAGAACTTTTCGAGTGTCCTCCGTATGTTCGAGGCCAGAATATGGCCCCGAAACGAAATTTGCTCGCCCTCGACAGTGTTTTGCCAACACGCTTTGTCCCCTGATTTCAGCAGTGCGGATTTTCCGGCCGAGCACTGGAAAAGCGCAGAAAAAAAAAAAGAATTAGGCAGAAGGAGAATTATTTGTCAGACAAAGGGGTTCTTCCTGGGGATTGAAGTTAATCTGGCATCGTAACTGAGATTTGCGCCGGGTGTGCGCGGGGGTATCAGAAACCTCCGCTGTAATATTTCTACATAATATTCCTGAATCTGAAAATGGTAGTCCTCCTAAATTATTTTATTGCAATAATGAAAAACCCTAAGGGACCTCTCACAAAAAAATTAATTACTCCAATGTCAAAATATTTTTCAATGCAACCCTTGCATTGCTTGGATGGAATAATTCAACTTCACAATTTGTACGACAAGCTACTTTTAAAACAATGAAATTAAATTTAAGGAAACTTTTGAAAACTACGTAAAATAAAGATATTATTCTGCAACAGAGACATTAATAAACTCATTGTTTTTTTTTACTCGAACACCTTGGGCTGGCTGGTATCTGAATATTAGGAGGTTTTATTTATTTATTTGGATAATTCAAGTGAGAAAAATTAACATTTTTTTCCCTTTAATCCTATTGCTGAAGGTTGAAAAAATTTCAGCATCAAGATACCTTTCTTTATTCTTCCCAAATTGTATTCTGTGCAGAAAAACATTTATTTTTCGGACTTTGGCCTACATTACCCAATTTAAAATTTTTATTACAGCTATGAAAAATAATTTATCGTGAGAAATTTGTCCTCATTATTTAGATGCAGGAAAATTCTGTCTCCGACGCAGAAGGATTGCATCCAGGGTCGACTTTTGTCTCTAGAATTCCGGAAGAACTTTCACGAGTGCCCCATTTTCAGGGGTGGCAACAGACACCTGTTCCGAACCGCCCACGCCAGCCGTGCCGTAGGGGAAGGCCAGGCACGGGGAGTGCATGGCTAATGAAAACCCGGTCGACAGTCGACACCCTTGAGCCCCGGACTTTCGGCGCGGATTTCACGCTTCTGCTCGCATGGTAAACAGGGAATCCCGGGGATTCGTCTCAGTGGCGCAGTTTCCAGAAAATCGCCGCCATATGGTTCCGCGCTGGACCTTATTGATTCCCCCCCGCGTGACAGGCCTGATTTATTGCGCCTTTCAGTCCAGGTCCCGCTGTAATAACGCGGGCGTTGCCCAACCACAGCCCCGGGTTCCAAATATCGTAGTTCCGATCGAGAGAAGAAACACAACCAATAAGTTGTTTCTCTTGAACTTCGTACATGAGCCAGACGGCCTTTAAGCTTGTACACCGCGAATGGACAAAATAAAATGAAACTCTAACGCGATATACAGTACATTTAAAGAATTTCAGCGTTTATATAAATCATAGGCAACACTTTTTTCTCCGCTGAGTTTTCACATTTGTAGAGCAAAAAGAAGGCATTTTAGAAGACTCATTGAGTCTCTTCCACGTATTGTACTGTACAATATTTTTATTTCATTTGGGGCGCTCCAAGAAAAATATTTGTTTTGTTATAAGAGCTCCTTGACGAGACAAAAATATTCCTAAGCTATGCAAAATTTCACAAGGCCATGTTTTCCCCTCGAGTAAAAAAAAAAACGCTTGGCCCAAGTTTTATTTTAAAAATGAACCCCGTCCCCAATGATCCGAGGCTTTTTAATCATTTAATTATTATTTTTAGATGAAAACCTACAAGGCCATGCATTTTCAATGGGAACTTCGAAAATTTGGAGAAGCACGAATATCGTTTCACCGCAAACGGGAGGCTGAGACATTCTAAAAATGAATGACAAAATATTGCAAGTAATACAGCACTCAGTGTAGTAGAAGACAGCAATCAAAACAAATATACTATAACCATATCAGGGTCTTATTTGAGAAGAGGAGCCTTATCTGAAATACAGTAAAAAAAAAATTCGATGTGGTTTACAGGTTGTATGGAGAAAATTTTTGCGACATTTATACCTTAAATTACTGTTGTCATAACATACTTTTTCTTGTATGTCCTTTTTTAAAATCCTACTACGGTAATTTCCCAGCCACACATGTCGTTCGCTAACAGATTCACAAACATTTTGCATTTTCAATTTAAAGATTGAAGGTCTACAACCCACAATGTCCTACCACAGTGGAATGTTGATTCTTTGAAAGTAATTTTCTAATGAACTTTTCTTATGGCAAGAAAGTGTGTTCAAACTGTTTTCGAAATTAATGAGATCCTTAAAGCTGGCGTCGTTTGAATTTCTTAGGAAAAAGAGATAAGGTTTTCATACGGAAGTGATAGCTTTTTTCTTTCTTTCTGGGTGTTTTTTATATTTTACGTCACACAATTAATTTTTCCGATTATTATTCTTTTAAAAAATAGAACAGATTTGGAATGGATTACTCACTGTTCACTGGAAGTTCGTATTACATTAATTAACATCTCATGAAAAATTGTCATTTTCAACGAATTTTTGTGTCCACGTCGTGTAAATTCACTTATTCAACTCTGAAGTAAGCGATTGCCTTATTCACGATTTTCCCGAAAACTTTCTCGCAAACATTTCAAGTGTGGACTCCGTAGAGTCTAAATACTCGGTTAACGAACTCTTCGGGGACTTGAATCAGTTGGACATTTTAATTCAGTTTACATGACTATTGTATTCAATTGATACTCTTATTGGCAAGTTAGATTTGCATTGGAACCGATCAAGGTCTTCAACGGAAGTAACGCTGTAGAAGTGAAGAAGATAAATGTAATGGGATGTTCATTTAATAGATCCTTTTTGGGTCAATCAATGTGGCCAGCAACAGTCGGGAAGATATTCGTATTATCCTGAAAGTTGAGCCCATCAACCGGAATGGGAGATTCTCGGACTTGTATAATTATAATTTAAACCTTCGTTTTCCGAAACGCAGATGCCATCCAGGTTTTCCGCACTGTTACATGTTTCTGCCTCGTCCCTCCACGTCGCATATCTCGGAAATAATGTGTAACAAATTACTCTTACATAAGAAGTAGTCTAGCCAAGTTGAAATAAATAAATAAATAAATAAAATGTCGCGTCGCACGGAAAAAAAAGAGGAAGTCGCGTTTGTTGGAACTGAGCAGAAACAACATCCACCAGCAGTCGGGATTGGGCACTAGCGACGGTTCCTTGTTCGGAAAAGCGGGAGGAGCGACTCACCCCCGTCATCCCTTCCAACCCCCTGGGACCGAAGAGCCAGGCGAACACCACATTGGCATGCGAATAATTTGCGATTCTGGGTCAGGTTGCATGAGAATAATATTCGTAACGAGACAATTTAATTGACATGTTTATCAGAAAAGGGTTGATGCAGCGTCTTTACCATCGCCGAAAATGTTAGTTCGACGCCTACTGTCATATACTCCCTTGATTTTGTATATCCATTACGGATGCATTGATGTCACAGACATTTTTCTGGAAGCTTCGAAAGGTTATTAAAATGCTTGATATTAAGTTGCAAAGCATGTGCGTGGAATTGGCAATTTTTTGTCTTGAAAATCTGTCAAAATTTAAATTTTTTGTTCCACTGTATCTCGTGACATGGTGAACTGTTGCATTAATATCAAGGGCGTTTTTGTAGGCATCAATTGATTTAAATGTTCTGTTACTGAGCTACAAATAAAGAAAATCATTAGGGATTAGAAGAACAAACATGAATTGCTGATTGTGTTCAATCATGTGACAACTGCAACAATTTCGCTCATTGGACCCACAAAAAAATTCCAATGCATGTGCAGGTGGTCCTTGTAATTCAACCTCCTGCAATTTGACTGTCCCACAATTTGAAGGTCAAATTTGCTGGGAGTTTGACTCTCAATTTGACCCGCGAAGAGACATAAAATGTCAAATGCCATATAGAAAACATGCCATTTGACGTTGTCTTGCAATTGGACCCTAGTCCAGCAATTGATTAGGGTCAAATTGCAAGGTACCACCTGTACTGTATGTTTAAAAATTACAGTACTTCATCTTTTTCCACCAAAACAAGTGACCACTTCTGCGCTCTTTATTCTACATTTTGTCGTAATAGTGAATCACTGAAAATGCTGTGTATACTGCTGTTCTCTCTTGTTAGAATAGCCCTTGGAAATACTGTTTTCTTAAATCTCAATCAGTGGTAACAGAAAATTTGAATTGATCCAAAATAAAAATATAAGCACATTCAGGGTTATTGGGTAAAGGCCTTGGAGAACAAATTTGTTGTGAACCAGACTTTGCTATAATAAGAGTTGTTTTATTGCAAATGAGGCCGTTGGGCGATTCTGTTTCATAACATTTCGCTTTCAACCAAAATATTCGGGCATTATTTTCTTCGAAAGAACACAATTTCGAAAGAAATGATACAAAGAGAAGCAAAGACATCGTATTCCAACTCGCCGTTTGACAAGTCTCCCATCGAGTGTCCCCAGAGTAACGCCTGCCCAGTGTCGAAACTCCGCCCAGGCAGAAGGCGGGACTTGAAAATAACCCACGTACCCAGCGCTTGGGTACAAGGGCGGGCGTTCGTTCAAAGGGGAGGGGAAAGAACAAGGGGAGGACAACAACCGCAACAACGACGACGGCGACGACGATGAGGTTTAGCACGACGCTCGACGCCGGCTCAGGCGTCATTCCGACAGCGGCTCTCTGCCAAAGTGGCTACAGTGAATTAGTGTCGTGCGACGAGCAGCAAAAATTGCAGAACTTTTCGACACGCTGGGATCCTCGTGGCTGAGCGAAACAGGCCGGGATTTCCCTGCGGAAATTTGCGCTATGATTGAGAACGTGCCCAAGATGCTGTCCGACCCGGACCAAAAACCCGAGCTGCTGGAAGACGGGACCCGTGAGTCAATTCATAAAAGATCGTGGTGTTGATCTTGATCAAACACAAATTCGAAGCACAATCGCAATCTTAATGAGCCATTTTTTTGCAAATATTATAGCATTTATTTTTGCGACATTGAAATTAATTCATCCGTGCCGCTCGACCTGTGTGATTAGACGACAGTATATCGAAATCGGAAATCATTCTTTTTTCTGTGGAATTCAATTTTTTTTTCGGCAGATTTAAAAATTGCTCGTGTGACTGTTCTTAGATGAACATCTCCCCCAAATCTTCCAAGATGATGAAAATGTTTCCCCCATTTTCTCATGCTATGGAAATTTCTCGTTATCTGGATATTGACCAAATTTCCTCAATTTTTACTGATTCACTTTTTTTTATCTGCAAAGGAAAAATTTCACTTCAAATTCTCAATTCGGTGGAAACCCTCCCGGGCAATTTTGGACGCTATTGTCGAATGGGTTTACAAAATTTGTATTTTATAAATTTATTGGTTTACAGACACCCCGCCCTCCCGAAAAAAACGGCAAGATCTTGTATTCCCCGGTGTTCATGGATTACAAAAACCAACAATAGTGACTTTTCAAGCTGCGAGCGTGAATAAGATATTTTTTGCACTTCTAAACTTTCACGCAAAAATAGCATCGCTTCAAATCATTTCATTATTTATATCGGACGAAGCCGGAAATGCAAAAGAATTCAGGAAACGTTGGTTGCAACATATGCTCTCGGTTCAGGGTTGTTTATGCTTAAAGCACCTAATCCAAATTTAACCATGAGGATCGTTTCGTCATTGAATGAAATCAAGAAATGTCTGCGGTGACGCCAAAAATACATTTATTCCTGTAAAAGGTACTACTGTACTGTAGTACCATATCTATATCATAGGTTGCAACGTCGGTTTCCCCATTTTAATTTGATCGCGGGATTTTTTTTTTCTTCGAATTTTCATCCAGATCTGGACATCAAGCCTCGGTTTACCATGGGACAGATTTGCGAAGGCTGCGGACAACAAATTATGGTGGTTAAGGACTACTCTCAGCGCCTGTGAATAACCGTGCTTTGAACGAACTAAACAAGTCACACGGTGCTAGGTGAAAGAATAAGCACAATGTGAGCCTTAGTCTTTGAAATAACGTTTGAGCTGATTGATCGGTGAGTTCACGACGTATTTCGTATCGCATGACGATTTTAAATGTACAATGCAGTAATCTCCGTTGCAAGCAACAAGGTGAACTGTTTTCGTCTTCTTAATGGAAGTAAAATTCAAAACCACTGCTACGGAAGATGGTTCTCCGGATTTTATTGCTCCTTTTAAAATTACTTTATCTTAAGAATCTAAAATAATTTTAACCTCTGTCAGTCATATTTTAAGGCACGACTCCGAACAAAATTAGACAGAGAGTTTTAGAGTTAGAGAATTTGGCTTCATTCGAAATATTTAGAAATTTTCATTTTTCACAAGTGTTCTGCGAGCAGGAATATGCTAAAAAAATTTGTGGAGAGCAGAACGGAAATAATTTTTTCGGAACGTGTGATTTAAATTTCAACTCCAATTTAATAAAAAAAAATCCCTTGCAATTTAGACCATGGGAGGTTTGGCCCACCTTTTTTTTAGTTAGACAGATTTCAATTGCATTGGGTTCATGGGCATTGGTTATAAGGGTTACCTGGAATCCAAAGGATAAACATTTTAAATTAGGGAGGTCAAACTTGGCAAGGTCCGACAATAATATATTTATGGCGTGATTTCACCCGCTCTTCCGACATTAAGACAGTCCGTTTCTTATTTATCATAAAACGTGGAACGCAAATAATTTTGTCTTAAAATTAAATTTGTTTAAATATTGACCGTGAAGTAACTGTTGGTTTATGGCGAATGCTTCCTTCCGAATTTTCGATGATTGGTGATGATTCCGAACTAGTGAACGAAATTTAATTTCACAGTAAGACGCAATACATCAAGATGAACAAGACGGAGTGTATTGAAAAATTAGCAGAAAAATCTCGTTTTGAGCTACAAATTTCCCTGCTGATTTTGGTAGTCAAGTACAGTATTCCAACGGAAACCTTTAGCAAAAAAATAATAATAATTAGTCGGAAAGTGAGGACAGAACAGTACAATATTGTCAACTTCAGCGATCTTTGACAATGTTTTGAGTCGTGAAGCGCTTCATTTTGTACATGAACGTTCGTTCACATCTATGCATTGATATGAAGCTTCTGCTGTGATGAACAGAAATACAACAAAAATAAAACGTTGTCTTAGAAGCGTCGGTTCACACCTTGTACACCTCTCTCCTATTTGGGATCCCTTATACACTACTCTCGTCCGTCGTATCAAAAGGTGGAGTTGACAAAGGACTGTGCTGGTTGCTTCAGGCCTCTGCAAAAGGGCGACCAATTCGTCCTCAGAGCCGGTCAGCCGCTTTGCAGGGCAGATTTTGAAAAGGAATTCTTCCTCCTTCAACAAACCTCGCTCGGCTCAGGTGAGTTTAAAAAAAAAATATCTGAAAAATACGCATAAATGATTGTTGTACAGCCCAACCCCGTTAAGACGCCCCCCGATAAAGCGCCACCCTCGGCAGCCGCCAAAATTTTGAATGAAACAAATCTCCTCCACTTTAAATTCTATAGAAAATCTCGATAAGACGTCAGCCGCCATCCACCAGCATTACACTACTTTGTTTTCACGACAAAGGATTTATAACATTTTTATTACTACTAGAAAAAATAAACTTGTTATATAACTGAATTAGAATTTTAAACCTATTTAACTACGTCGTTTTAATTAAAATACTTTCAGTAATCCGTTGATAACAGCAATACTCTTTGGAAAATTACTGAAGTTTCTAGAAAACCTGTATTTCTATGACTGATGGAGGAAAATCGAGTATTTTTTATCAAATAATTTAAAATGAAATATTTGATAAACCGCCAACCCCTTTAAACCACCAAAATTGCTCTGGAAAACTGGTAGCGTCTTGTCGGGATTTGACTGTACCAGCAAGTGATAAATAAGGTAATTTCATCAATCTACAGTTCTTTACATTCCTGCGCATATGCATGTGCCACAATTGACTTTTATCAAGAAGCCACAAAATTAGGTGTGCGTCATAATTGAGCACATTTTTGAGTGATTTTTGATTGGGTGGAACTGTGGAAGACAGACTTGAATTATGTTGGGTGAATTTTTATGAAAGAATTCTCCCAACATTCAAGATTTTTTAAGAGTTCTATTTTTAATTTTTTTTTTATTCGTGCAAGAGAAAATCAGGACATGTATCCATGATACCTAAACAGTTTTTCTGAGCATAAATACCTGAGAGAAGTAAGCCAATGATAAACCGATGATTAATTACAACACGTGGCACAGCCAACAAACTTTCATGGAATACAGAAAACATTAAAACTGTCCAGACTCAAGTATGCTTGAAATTATACTGGATGACATATTTTTTAACATACTTCTTGTTTTACCAGAAAGACACCGAACCGAATGTTGACTCTTTCAGTCATGTACTGTATTACCAAGAACCAATTTCGAAACGCCTGATGGTTATATTTCAAAGATTGTTAAAAGAAATTACTTCGCTCGTTTGGTTTCTGCCCAGAAAGAAGAATTCAGAAACCGTAAATTAGCATTATCTTCCAAATGCATTTCCACTCAACTGATGAACAAATTTACGATAAAGACTGATTTTGAAATTTTATGGCTGAGATGCGATGCGTCAGCTTCTCAGACAAGAATGTGCTCGTGAAATGAATCAATTTTAAACATGTAATGTCGAAACCGTGTATAGAGGCTTACGATAATCACGATTTTAATTTTTTGATTAATCGACGAAAACGGATACATTTTGAATGTTTTTAATCAAGTGTGATACAGTGAAAAGAAAAGTTTCACATTCAATGTGTCACTTTGATTTATAAGTCTTCAAGGTAATATGATATGTTCTCCATGCTTAAAATCTCGATGACCTACTACCAACACCTTCTTATTGCTCTCTACCAGCTTCTCCTGGCTTTTCTGGCTCTTGGTAAGAGTGCAGTCGAGTTTCTGCGGTTAAGTTTCGAAGGAAGCTTCACTCGCCGAAACCGTGCAGAAAAGTGAGCAAAAATCGACATCAAAAAAGAGGATAAAACAACTTGACGAGTGTGATTGACAAATTGTTTCCCAGGTTCGAGAAGCACTGGCCAAAGAAACTGGCTTGAGCGTTCGCGTGGTTCAAGTTTGGTTCCAAAATCAGCGCGCTAAAATGAAGAAGATGGAGAAAAAGCAGAAAGAGAGAGAAAGCAGAGAAGACGGGAAAGATGGAGAAAAAGAACCTAATAAAAAGGGGAGAAAAACGAAGGCTGCCGCTTTGGTCAAAGAAGTTGACAGTGATTCCGACACCGAATTCAATGGTAAGCGTACATGTTCTCGTACTGTATAATCCTTTCAAGAATTTCTATGGAGATCATTATTTTCAATTTTTCTCCCATTTCATAATACAGCCCTTCACCAATTTGTTCGTATTCACAGAAATAAACTTTTTCTAGACTTTTACCGACAGGAATTTCGTAATCTTGAATAAGTTTAGAGTATTATTTACAAACAATTAATGAGAGGGTGGAAATCGGAAAACGAATGCTGCTTTGAATACGCAATAATCGAGTGAGTTGAAGTTTTCCACAAATCTTCCTCAAGTTTTGCCTTGAAGTACAGTATCTTAAATAGCCGATGCCAAAGCTTAAAACTTTTTTAAAATTGTATTCCCCAGCATTCCTGTAAGAATCAGAATTTGAAAATCTTTACAAAAGGTGACATCCTAAAAAGTTCTATTTTTGTTCCAGATTAATCGGTCACAGACATCCTTAGAGTGATTTAATCATGAAAAACGTCCTGTAACTTTTCTGTCAACTTATTTACAGCAGTTAAAAAAACCATGTTCAAAATTACGTCGATCAGCTTAGTTCGAGCTGGAGGTGTCGTGTTTCATCCCAAATTACAACTATATATTTTAAAAATGTAGTCATCTGCGATTCGGACTCGGATTTTTTAAAATCAATTCGCTCCTAAGCTTTGGATTGTTTAAGCATAGTAAAAATTGAATACAATAATTTTAGCGAACTTATTGAAAACCTGTGAAATGAGGATGAATGGTGAATTTTTGGGATACAAGACTGTACATTGGGTTAACCCGCATTACGAAAGACTCGCTCAACGAAAATTCTGCGTTGTGAAATTTCTTTACAGTACGCAATGCTTTTTTTTACAGTTATCAGCTTTTGATGCAGTAAAATGACAATTTAATAAGAAGAGACCCGAACACAGTCAAAAATCTTTGCAGTGAACCTAAAGCTATCGCTGGTCGTGTCTAAAGGTGAGTAGCGTCAAAAGCTGGCTCAAAACAAAAACAAAAAAAGTTTCGAAGCGGGTAGATCCGGTAATGATCCCTCTTTCAATGGAACGGTTTAATGAGGCTCCTAATAAGGTGTCATCTTGGGGTTTTCTAAGTGCAAATACCCTGACCTGAACTTTTGTATTATTTTCATAGGTGATCAGTATCCTGCGCATTCAGGGGACAGCTTTTGCGGATCAGAGCTTTCTTTGGATGACAGTGGGGGCTTCGAAACTGTGGAGGATCTGACGGATGCCGGACCGGGCTCGAATGGACTCGTCCCTCCACAACAAGGTCCAGGTTCAGAATATTCAGTCCAACCGAACCATCCCGGAATTCCGCAGCCATACCACACAAACCCTATTGATAAACTTTACATGATGCAGGATTCCTATTTCAACTCGAGCGAACAATAATTTTGTGATTCTTATGGCGGATTCGGTGTAAGTTGTATACATCAGGTCTTGAGTGTTATTGCTGATGTTTTCATCCTGAAAACGGACTCGGAGATCATCGTTGATGAAAATTCACATTCAACGTGCTGGTTTCTTTTTCTTGATCGCGTGCATTGCACCAACATGACCTGCTGGAACCGGAAATATAGCGACTATGTCAGGAAAGATACCGCGCATATCCTGTACAGTAATTGTTTTGTGTGATCCTCCTTATGCTTTCATTGGTTCGCAGCAGGTGCAAGGTGGTTGAAAATCACTGGTAGTCTGGCAAAGAGTATAATGCTGAAATCTGGATGAGGAAGCAAAGAATAATTTCTTTTAGAGACTAGAGTACTGTATGACATCCGTCAACATTTCTCATTGTCAACGGCCACGTGACTGCTTCCCAAAAAAGGTACAGTACCACAATACTGTATCAGGAATAGGCATCATAAGAGGATTCACCCACCATTTTTTGTGTATCCGCACCTGAGAGGAAGGTTAGGTCGCATCTTTAGGGAAAACCAGAGAATTATTTTTCCCTGCGAAGATTGCAGTCAATTATTTTGCGAGATTGATACTAAACGCATATTGGATCCTTCAGTTTTTAATGTACAGTATTGCAATACAGTACTGTAAGGTTTTGTAGGCTGTACAGGTGTCGCAGGAGCCGGAACGTGCAACTGATACCTCCCCGCTCTTCCTTCAATGTTGCGCCATGTGACTGTGAGGTTGGGTGTTACCAAGGAACTTCGCGTGTTTCGTCTTCAAATTACGAGTATTGCATTCGGGTTGTTGACCGAACAGAACTTATGAACTACAGTATAGGTGACCTACGAGTAGTGCGGAGTGGTTGTGTTGAGATGCAATGTTCGGAATGAAATTCGTCATTTATTTCCCATACGTGATCTGGTGAAGTTGGGATGCCGCGGTAACACCGTATACTGTACTGATTTTTTTTTTCGTTTACAGTTCTCCAAATTTGTCTCCGAGGCTTAGCGTGCTTGAAGTCGCATAGAGGTTATGTTATAATGACATCTCTGATCGCCCGGTTGACTTTCTATCCGTCAGTTGGATGGACCATGATTATGGAGAAATTGTCAAGCCGGCGGTGGTACGACCGAATCGACGAAACAGTTATAGTGGGTGCGATTCCTACCACAAGTATGATTCCCGAACTAATTGAAAAAGAGGGGGTACGAGGCGTAGTGTCAATGAATGAAGATTTTGAGTTGCGCTTGTTCGCGAAGGAAGAAGACTGGTTTAACGCGGGTGTGAAATTCATTCAACTCCCTACTGGTGAGGCTCTATAATCGTTTAACCAACCGAGTGTAGGAAATCATCCATTTTCATGATTTCTGCAGTGGATATGTTCGGAGTTCCAACGAAAGCTCAATTGGAGAAAGGACTTTCTTTCATCGCGGGAATCGAGAAAGAGAACGGCTCAGTTTATGTTCACTGTAAAGCGGGACGTGTTCGAAGTGCAACTTTGGTGGGATATTATTTAATGTCGAAGTACGCGCTGACTCCCGAGGATGCCGCGAATACGATTCGTCGGAAGAGATCTCAGATACTCATAACTCCCAGATCGCTGTCAACATTTATCCCGGAATCAAACTCTGCCTAGAAGTGTTTCTCAATCATTTAATGCCGGAGTTAGGATGGACTGACCATTGACGCGGTGGTGTCTTCCCTTGTTTCGTTTGTTGTTTTACTGCTGTGATTCAATGGAAAGCTTAGCAAATTTTTCTGATCGTATGTGTTAATTAAACTTGTGTCATTGATGCTTCAGGTTATGGCAACTCCGACGTTCGAAAGTCTGTGTTGTGCCGACGGAGATAAAACTGGTGGCCCAATAGATTATCTTCTTCATGTGCACGCAATCCCGTACAATGCCGTTAGTTTAGCTACTTCTCTTATTGGAATTGGAGGGGCCCTTTTTCAGGTCGTCGCGGTTTCTGGGCAAACAAAACGACCCCGTGCGACGCCTGGTGTGACAAGAAACTCAAGTTCCAGTCGACATCTGTCAATTGTGCAGTGGCTTGCTGTTGCAGATCTGTGTGCTGCATTGGGTAGAGTTTTTTCCTTTTGGGTAATTTTGATCTCTTTTGACTAAACTAAGCTGAGTTTTCCAGGAATTCTCATTAGATCTGCGGCATGGCTTATGAACGCCACGATGATGCTGGAAATCAATTGGTCATCTCAAATTTTCTGTGTGTGCATTTCGGTGAGCGTGATGGATCATGGTATTTCATTTGTTTCAGTTTACGTAATCTTCATTTCAATTTTCAGACTTGGATTCATTTTTTCTACACGGCGACTTACTTGTGGACCTTCTTTTACGCGATTGACATCATGCGAACTCTTCAAGAGAAACCGTGGCTACCTGGATTATACCATGGCTTAGCATGGTCAATAAGTGCTGGGCTTACTGCGACTGGGATTTCATTTTTGTACTTTCCTAACTTCAAGTGAGGATGATCTTTTCGTTTATTATCGTGATTATGTTGTATCACGTCATTCAAATCTTTGATTCAGCTGTCATCGTGGAGAACCAAACGGCTATTTGTACGTTTTGCCGAATTACATTTCCACGTATTTGCCCGTTTTGGTGGTTATGGTGGCAAATCCCATAATTTACAAAATTGCTTTTGGCCAGGTAAAAAACGCATGGTTTTCGCGACGAGTTGGGCTTATAGCAAACGTTCTCCCTAGGTGGAAATTTACGTTGCACAAACCCGAGGCATTATCACAAGCGAAGAACATCGCGCTGTTGATGCGTTGAAGTGGAAGTTTTTTTGCATCATTCTTGCATTTTATATCTGTTGGCTACCGAATCTGATCAATGGAATATTGCTTTGGACGAATTGGCCAGATTTGCCTCGAGCCGGAATTTTGGGATTGTGGTATCTTATGGTAATTTCCGTTCGTTTTTCGCTAGAATTGGACTTGATCTTGGTATCAGTTTTCTGTCTTAGTGTCAATTTCTATTCATTCTGTCTGTTTCAGGCTGTTGTTAATCCTCTACAAGCCGTGCTGAACGTTATCGTTTACGGGAAATGGAGGAATTGTTTCACATGGTTCAGCAATTCTCTGTGTTGTCTGTGGGGCAAGAAGTCGGAGGACCTGAACGAACGAAGCCTTCTGTTGGAATCGTCTTTCACGCACAGCATAAACGGAGAAGGCTCGTATATGTATTAAGATTGGAAAGGAATTCAGCAATCACTGCATGCAATTTGTACAGTGCTTACATTCCCCAAGCAACAAACTCACGGTGCTGTATATTTTTTGGGGCTTGTGATTGAAGGCTTCCTCAGGCCTGTTATATTTTGTTTTTTCAGCATTGATCAGCAGTTAAGTTTTATGTGTAAATATTGACGGAAGTGTGAACCTGAAGCATTTATGTAATTGCGTTTGCGATGTTTTTACCTTAGCGTTGATGCTTGTGGGGCATTCCTTGCATTGACTTCCCCAGACCAATGGAGCCCTGTGTTCGGGCACAAGAAACTGGTGAATTGAACATTCTTCTTGTGACATATTTTGCCTTGAGTTTTCAGCAATGGATACGCTGTGATGACTATTTTTTTTCTTGCGAGCGTCCTTCTCGTGTTCGATAAATCTCTGGGAACAGTTTTGTGACGATATTGACCGTGTGAATTTTTTTCTATTTACCCAAATTATTAGAGTAAAAAATTTACGTTCACGTTCATTTCCTTTTTGTAGCATAGTTAAATTTAAGTATGTGATTTTACTTCCTGAAGCCTGACCTCTGCTCCCTTCGAATGTTTCTCCTTGAAGTATAGTTGCGACGATGACGGTCTGACTGAGATAACCGCAAACCAACTTCGTATCTAATCGAACCTACTTCGTATGTACCGTGGGTTTCGGTTGATAGAAATTTGAAGACATTTCGGAAAAATTTTCCATCGGGAACAACCAAAATATCTCTTCAAATGCTCTTGCTACATTTGTGTTGAAGCATGTATTATTTGATGGGGATAATGAGTCATTGTGGATTACGTGCTTATTCACCGCATGCATGCCTTTCTGTTCGAGGTACGAGAATGATATCTCCGGGTCAAGGCTTCAGCTCGTTGGTGAACGCGCAATCTCGCGACATTTCCACTCTCAGCGAGCAAATCGACGAATTAGACGCGATCGTCGCGAAATACGACACTGTGGTGAAAACGTTGGAAACGGTCGATGAGAAAGTGAATCATGATGTGATGATTCCTCTCGGTAAATTTGCTTTAATTCCTGGTAAACTCATCCACACCAACGAAGTATATGTACATTTGGGAGCCGATATGTTCGCCCTTCGGTCTTCGAAACAGGCCATCGAATTGGCGAATTTGAGACGCACCAAATTTTTGCAGAAGTCGGAAAAACTGAAGGACGCCAGAAAACTTTCAAGCGATTGGAAATCTACTGCGGAAGATCTTAGTTCGGAATTTATCTCCATGGTATGTGTTTTTTTGTATTCCATTTATTTCAAATATTAGTTTGGATTATTGGAATTTTCAGCCGGACAAAACCCATGAGCACGTCACTGAAGAAGAATACGTGAGATGGAAAGAAAATCGAAGCAAAAAGCCTGTATCGCAGGAAGTCCTGGAAAAGAAAGAAAAGGCGAGGAAAGCGGAGGACGACGAAGTGCACAAACGGCTAATGGAACGATTGGATGAATTGGAGCGGCTGGAAGAGTTAGAAGATGAAGAGTTTATTCAGAAACCCCCAGCAGTAGCCTCCAAGAAGCCAGCGGTTTCGCTTCCACATAAGGAGGAGTTTCCGCCGAGGTAATGATACTAAAAATGATTTCGCTCAACTTGACGCAGAACTACTGCACATTTGTGAGCTTATTATTACGTAACATGCTGTTAAATGTCGACCTTTCTTCTTTTGTCAATTGAGAGTTTCAATGGTTCTCACTTTGAACTACTCTTCCTACATGAGGTTCGTTGTTAGAGACGTTTACGAAAAATAATTCATGATTTTTCCAGGTCAAATTTCCGACTTTCCTTCACGAATTCGGTTCAAAGTGAACCTCCGAAGCGCTCAGAATCTGACCGTATTGATTCACCGGCTGATATTCCATCATGTGGTCCCGTAAGAAAATCCAGCTTGAAGCAAAAGCAAGTGAAAACTGCTTCGAGAGCCCGTGTTTGCTTCGGCGAATCCGTTGATGTGAAAACCATCGACAACATTGCTCGGCGTCCTGCTGCTGAGATTGCAAACCTATATGCCCGCCCAATGGCTGAACAACCTGTTGTAATAGATAGTCCTTCACCTGCGGTGTCCTCTCGCGAATCACCCCAGAGTGGAGGGAATGATGAGCCAGACGCTCCTCGTGTTTCTCGATTCAAGGCGGCAAGAATTAAAGCGAAAAGCTCGAACTGAGTGCGAGAACTGTGATACAATCCATTCGGAATCCCATTTAAGAGTGCCTCCGGTCCATCTCCGCTAAAACGAAATAAAGTCCGAAGTGAAAAACTTTGGAGAAGGCACCGGGGACGCTAACATGCCGGCGATTCTGATGATTTTTCGTTCATTCCGCATTTGCTGCGTTTTCGGCGAATCCCAGATTTTCTTATTCTTTTTCACATTTTTTTCAGACATTCTTATTGTTTATTCCACTTGTTGACCGCGGTTCTTCTCGAGTCATGTCTTCGTTGACGAAAGGTACGTTGAACATTTTCAGCGGATTTCGCGAGGGTTAATGAATATTCATTATTTCACGACAGGAATTTTTATTGTTGCTGCGAAACGTACTCCGTTGGGAGCTTTCGGAGGAAAGTTCGTGAATCACACTTGCGTTGATCTACAAGAAGCCGCCGCAAAAGGAGCTTTGCGTGCGGGTGGAGTTCGACCGGAACTCATTGACTCAGTTGTAATTGGTAACGTTCTGCAGGTATGTTTTAGACTTTCAATAATCCTTTATTTTTTGTGCACTAGAACGCTTATGTTGAAATTGATATGCGCAATGAGTCGCTCTTTCGGTAACGACGCACATTCTTCAGCTGTTTGTGTTCAACCTATTCCCTGCATTGGGGTAAATTTCTCTTGGTTGCACTTGTATGTTGATGATTTATGGAAATGCTCTGTTGGTTAGTGATTCCTTTTTTTTTTTTGCTTGTGCTGTAGTGCTCGTCTGCTGATGCTCCCTACGTGTCGCGACACGTACTTCTACGATGTGGCATTCCGAATGCAGTTCCGGCACTTACTGTTAATCGTCTTTGTGGATCAGGATTCCAATCCATCGTGAATGGCGCTCATGTAAGTTTCGATTCAGTATTCGGATTCGTTTTTGTTATTTATCGATTCCGATTCGGGATTATTTCAGGACATTCTAATGGGTGATTCGAAAATCGTGCTTACGGGCGGAACGGACAACATGAGTCAGGCGCCGTTTGCGGTTCGTGATATGCGATTCGGAACAAAGCTTGGAACGCAGTACAATTTGGAGGACACTCTTTGGGCAGCACTGACTGATAGACACATAAATCTTCCAATGGGAGTTACCGCGGAAAACCTCGCGGAGAAATATAAAATTACTCGACAAGAAGTTGATCAGTTTGCGTATGAATCGCAAATGAAATGGAAGGCAGGTTAGTATCGGAGCGAGCGTGGAGTGTTTTTATAGCTGTCTTTATTGGAATGTTTCCTATGATGAAGAAAATTAATTTCCAGCGAACGAAAGTGGACATTTTAGAGACGAAATAACCCCGGTGGAAATCAAGGCCAGGAAAGGATCTCAATGGGTTGACACAGATGAGCATCCGAAACCGACCACAACTTTGGAAGGACTTGCCAAATTACCGACTGTGTTCAAGAAAAACGGAACTGTGACTCCAGGCTCCGCATCTGTGAGTTTTAATTGTCTACCTGTGAAGTAAAAAGATTGGAGTTCTAGAAGGCGGAAAAGTTTGGAAATGGGTTGTTCTAGAGAAATAACTGGAACGACTTATTTTTCGTCGATGTTGTTTTCTGTATCAAAGTTCATATTACCTGTTACGTAAACATGAGAAGATTTAGGGAGAGGCACTCGTTTGTTGGTTGTTTTCTTGCTATCGATCGAATATGTCGTTGCCATGACATCTTGAGGACAACCGTGGGCTGAGAGGGGTTATTCTGTAATTACTGTATCATTTTGTTCCACCCGCGTGCACGTGACCGGGCCATTTAAAGGGGCTCCCAAAAGTTGCTGGGGAAAAGGTTTTCATGAAATTTCATTCTACCTTAAATTTAGAATGTGTCCCTCAGAAAACTGAAGACATGAAACCATTGGGAGTTTTCAGATCTGTCAAATTAGTGTCCTGGCTGCGAAAATTTCCGGGATTCTCACTACGCACGACCTTCATGGTCACTGAATCTTGTATCAATGCCCCACGATGCGTCTTTGTGGAATGCTGAAGTACTTTTGCTGTTCATCGCCTTTTTTCCAGGGAGTCTCGGACGGAGCTGGTGCCGTGATTTTAGCCAGCGAAGCTGCCGTCAAAGAGCATAATTTGAAACCACTTGCCCGATTAGTGGGTTACGGTATTGCTGGGTGTGATCCGACAATTATGGGAATAGGCCCAGTTCCGGCCATTCATAAGATGCTGAAGGCCACGGGCATTAAATTGTCCGACGTCGAGAACATTGAGGTAGGCTCAGCGTTCAGTTATACTCCATATACAGCGAACGCGCGCTATTTCCAGGCATGATTGCCGTTGCATTAAATGACAGAATGTTCTTCGCGCTTGGAAGTTGCGTGCCAGTATTTTGAAACAGGAGTCTGGAACATTCTCGTTTACAAGCTTTTAATTCTGTATTATTTATTAACGATGCGTTTTTAATGACGAAAATGTCCCGTGACAGATAAATGAAGCATTCGGCCCGCAAACGATGGCTTGTCAGCGTGAGCTGAAGTTTGACCCGTCCCTATTGAACAAGTGTGGTGGGGCCATTGCCCTTGGACACCCCCTGGGAGCCTCAGGCTCTCGAATAACTGCTCATCTTGTTCATGCGATGCTGTAAGTATTCTCGTTTTTCGATTAATCTTGTATTCCGTATGAATTTGTCTGTAGCGATAGCTTTCAGATCTAACCTTGATTAACGATTCTGCCTTGCCAAAGCTGCAGTAATGTGACCAACTGTCAACCCTCATCTCGGGTAGGAATTACAGTAGTTGAAGTTCTAAATCATGCCTACCTGCGATGAGTTTGGATAATTTTTAGGTACAGTTCATGAATCGGTTTCTCATGAACGAGGTATTGCAGAATCTTAGGCCAGTTATAATTTACTGTACTGTATATGGGTATTAGTTCAGGTTATGCTGGGGGTGGGATCATAGTGTCGTTGTTGAATTTTTTTCATGAAGTTTGGTAATTTGTTTATTTTTGTGTTGATTTGGGCAGAGTTTTCGTTGGTTTAGCTTCTTATCTTTCGGTGATGACGCGTCAAACATTTGGCCAAATAGGCAGCTTTAAAAATGAAAGAAACAGACCACGTGCTTGCAAGAATTTGTTGTTCATATTATGATTGGAACTTAATTTTATTCAGGCGTGATGGAAACAAGTACGGGATTGGATCAGCGTGTATTGGAGGAGGTCAGGGAATTGCTATCCTCCTAGAACGCGTTGCGTGAACATCCTCAATGGAGCCGTGTCATCTTGCACGGGAATCGTGGATTTACCGAAGGGATCGGTAGCTTGTTTCCGCGTCTCAACTTTTACTTGACTTCTCTGTCTCCGATGTGATTCCAACGATTTTTTGGTGCTGTGAACTGGATGAAAGGATGTTCTGTAGTTTCAAATGACGGTCAATATTTTCGGGGTGTATGTAAATGACAATTTATTCAAGTTGTAACAGTATTCCCGCTGTTTCGTTCCATGTTTTCGTTTTTCGGGTAAGAATAAAGTGAGCTATAATTTCTCAATCTTTTACGGCGAAGTATACTGCTACATATTTATTCACGTACAATTACGTGAATGTGGTACATAGCAAATTTTGTTGCAGAGGAAATGGCTTTCGCCAGCGTCTCCCAGGTAGATGTCCCATCAATTGAAATATCGCCTGCGTTAGGAATTTTTTCCGTTGTAACCATAACCATCGTTGGTTTGAATAACTATGCGTCTTCCTTCCATTCATCGAATTTAATGAATTTTTAAAGAATGTACGCATAGATTCATTTTCAGACGTCAGTTGCATAACTGTAATGGAAAACAAAAGCCCTTTTAGGTTATCGCAGAAATTTAGTCCCAGTATAGTGAAGTACTGAAGTGCATTTAGTACCAGTTGCTTGTGCAATAGTCATGTTTGATTGAGAGCTGGTTGAGACTGAATGGACAACTCTTTATGCAGTTGCTCTTTATTTCACGTCATTATAGAAATGGATTGAACAGCGCGGAACACCTAAATATGGTGTACATCTTCAGAATCAAGGTACAGGATAGCGTGAAGTACTCTAGAAGATTGGCTGGACTGATTGAATCGACATCTGGCTCCAGTTCAAGTGCTCTTGTCATGCATCACTCGATCGAAGTGCCATTCGCCCAAACCAGGGCCAACGCGTTTGCACTGCGTGATCAGGTCACCAATCTCTTTGATGGATTCAACCTGTTCTTCCAGGTAGTGCGATTCCAAGAAGTCGCACATCTGGGCGTCTCCATGCCCGTCAGCGATTTTATGCAATTCCAACAAGGACTGAAAGAAAAGAACACAAATGGAAAACATACGTCAATTGAACAAACCTTTGCCTAAAATGGAGAATTCGCTGGCTAATGTAAAGCGATCTTTCATATGCGCCATTCGCATGGGATTAGAAAATCCCGTTGATCTAGCTAACGATTCAAAAAATAGTACGAGTATCTTTCCTCTGAATGAAGTGTGCGTGTATTCATTCAAACTTCAGCGTAATCGTATTCGTCAGAACACCAAAATATTTACCGCTCAATTTAAAGAACCGTTAATAGAGAACATCTTCCTTTATTAGACCCCGTGTTCGCATAAGAACTTGCTTGGCATCACCTATTGATTGAATCCGGGAACGTACGCAAGGAAACCTTTGAAGCTTGACCGTACCTTATTGACAGTTTTTTCCAAGTCAAGTGCAGCAATGAGAGCATCCAGTCCACTTCCCCACTCATCCCTATTGGGCTTGTCAATGGGATTTAGAACAACTCGTCCTCCTCGTTGGTTCTGATAATCAATAAGCTTCCTCGCATGTTCGTGTTCTTCTTTAGAGCTGTGTTCGAAGAACTTGGCGAATCCCGGGAGAGCAACATCGTCACGACGGAAATATCCAGCCTGGAATCCGAAATTTCGCGCATTTTGATTGAATGACGTAATTTTTCGCATGCACCGCTCACTTACCATGGACATATAGGTGTAGCTTGCATACAACTCCCAGTTGATCTGCTTATTGATCCCGGCCTCGCTGTCTTCGTGGAAATTCTGACGAACCTGCGACACTGCCATGTCTTTCGAACTTCGTATGGTGCTCACGGACAATCCTTTAACTTGAGACTTGAGAAGTACGTTTCTTCGTTTTGTTTCTCACGGAAGTCTCTTTTTATACGTTTCGTAAAAGTGTATTGAACGTGCTAAGTCTTTGAACTCACTGAGGAGAATTTGCGGCGGCCGTTCGTCCACACACTGGTGACCCAGAACAGCTTACCAAACGAGCAGAAAGTGGATAATGCCAGCTGAGTCGAGAGTGGCGCTTTTATACTCCGCGTCAGCGAGGACAGAAGAACGTAGTGCGCGCAGACAGGTGACTGGGGCTTCGAGAACAGCTCCTTTGTTCCCATGGCGAAACTGCGCCTCACGAAGCAGGGATGCCAGATAACCGACTTTTCTGAGCGCGTCTGTCGGTAGCGTTCCTGTACAGTATAGTAAAGTATTGATCAGTTCTCAGTTGTAACAGATTGAGCGGTTTGTACCGTATCAAATCCCGCAGATAATGAGAATAATTAATCCCTATCTCTACAATCTGAGTACTGTAGTTCTTCTATGATCAGTTCTGGCTGTTTGCGGAATAGCTGAGGTCTGAAGGTCAAACTCTGCTGATGTCATGCTAAGTTGATTCATACGCTCAGCAGTCACATCTTACATTTCCGATTTCTTGGGAGTTCTGCATGTCGGATGAATGAACATATGTGTATAAATGTTGGGGGTTATTGTCTCTTCATTCCCTCAAAAATAATACCTCAGCAATGCATGACGAAATGAACTAGTGATGGTTAGTCTAATGCTGAAACAAATGAGTTAATATACAGTGAGGCATTTCATTTTAGCAAGGTTCATTACTGCAAGCAAGCGGAAAGTTGAACTTTCAAAAAATTTCAAACTTTAAACAAATTCTTAGTAACTATGCATGTACCTGTCCAAGAAATAAATGTTACTTCCAAAATCAAAAATGCCGTGATTTTTATTTACAGGATGCACTATCGGGTGTCAGAGGGTGTGGTTTTTGTATAATAACTTCAATATACGGGATAATGCATGTGAGGGATAAATTGATTTGTCGACTGGTGAGTGCGAGAGCAAACATACATGCTCAGCGGCAGTTTGAGCTGAAATTGAATTAACCTCATGAAATTCGAGACGAAATGTTTCTTGTTTTGATCCCACAGCGATTTTAAGCTTTTTTCTTGTTAAACTTGGGAACTCAGCAGCCAACGTACTGTCGAAATACTGAAGAAGTGTTCATCCTCAATTTATTGCATGACTCATCATAAAAAGCGTAGAAGCCCGATTATTCATAAAATATTATCGATTTAATAATAGTTTCCTAAATGCATAAGGCATACAATCAAAGTTCTGCTATGTATATTAGCAGACCTTTAATTTAATGCATAATCCTTGTATTATATCAAAGATGCATTCAGCGCAGGCCACTTTCAACTTGTACAATGTCACTGATTTTACCTTTACAGTACTATAATAATAGCTTACTCCAATATTAAAATTATGGTTAATTCTTGAGTCATCTCGAACAATGCAGTGAAAATCTGTCATTCCACGATGCTCCTTTTTGTCAATTGATTTGTGTTGTGCTTGGTTTGTTTGTACGGTATTTTGCATACGTCGATAAAATCTTACCTTTCCTTCCTGCTGGAGAACAATAATGAATGTTACAAATCAGCAGACAGAAAAATTAGCATTAATATTACTGTACCACCAAATTAATCTCGTGTAAAAGTTGATGAAAAGTGACGATGCAATGGGAAGGATGAATTACTTGCTGAATTCGATTTCTCACCCCATTGGCTCATCATCAGTATTAAATCACATTGGACAATTCAGCTCATTCCGTGAGAAATGCTTTCAGCTGTTTCAAGGTTCAAAGGCTCACTGCCCGTATTTTCAAGCAGAAATCAGCAAATGTAAGCACAATACTGTAATAAATTACAAAAGCGCTCTCAGCAGCAGAAGTACGTAAATAATGTATAGAAGTATCGACGGAAATTGCTTCACAAAATATAATTTCAGTAACATATTGTACTCTAAATTCATATTCAAGGAGAAAATCGATTAAATATCCTTGAAAAGTCAGTAAGATACTACGTATCTGCTTAACGTGTGAGGAAAAAGCTGAAGAGCATCAATAGTCATCATACAAAAAAATATACAGCCTAGAAATCAATATTAAAAAGATTGAACATCAATGATCAGGTTATGCGAACAAATTTACATGACGGCGACTGTGAAGAAAAATATGCATTCCGATGTAAAGTAATTTCCTGCTCTGGAATTTTTCTCGGAATTTCTTCAAGTCCATATAGGCGGTACTTCAATGTTTCCCAAAAATACGGAGTGCTTTCTCAAATAATGCGGTCTTTGAGGGATTCCAGATTATAGTACCTTTATCATTTTTCAAGCAATTTATTAGGCGAAAAATACAAACAGCATCTGAAGAATGTTCATCAATAAAAGCGAAAGCAGCGAGTCTATTTTTTACCGCCGATCGATATGATGGTACGTATTCATTACAGAAATGATCTGATCCGTCATATCTGTACTTTCAGTCGATAATTGAAGAAATTATGAACACGTTAATGATCTGAGGAAATTATTGATCATGTTCTGTGGTTTTATTCTTCCATGAAGCGATGCCCATGACAGGAATTTGTCGGATTCTGGAGAATTGCGTGTTTCGCGAGTGGGAAGTATTTTTTGGGAGAGAACATTTTTATCAAGAAATGCTGGCTGGGCGTCGCGCAGCCCGATGATGCTTCCATACATAATACACGACACGTCCCCCCTTCACTATATATGATGATGACGATGCAGCAAAGGAGTACAGTACTCACAATGTTATTCGGCAACCCTGGCAGCATGGTTGAATAACCTACTGCGCATTTAGAGCATGGATTGCACTAACAGCCCGCCTACGGCATTTTGCTGGATTGGTGTAACTTACCATGCGCGAACGACGGAATTCAGCGTGTCGATGATGCTTTAATCATCCCTGCACCAGCATACAAGTGGAGCAAAACCGCCGGTCATGTCTGTTCAGTCTCAAGAGTCTAAAACGTCGCTGTCACGACAGCATTCTCTCTGGGTTATTCTTTTATGTCGAATTATAAACTTGTGCACGTTTAAGATTTAAGCTCATGGACGAACAAAACTTGGAAGCAGATATACCAGTTCGAACTTGGTAAATCCGAATCAAGTACGCCAGAATAATTCTGGAAGTGCCCATTTCGTCCTTGCGGTCAAAAGATATTAAATTACGTTTATGGAGCATTTAAGAACCTGTTTGTGACCCCCCCCCCCCCCCCCTCAAAAAGGGCTACAAACGCGGATGTTGCCATGGGGAGAATTGCCGGGCGGAATATACAGCGGCTCGATCTATCCTGGAGATGGTACTTACATGAATCAGTGCGAGGTACTGGCTTTCGGGAGGAATCGGAGGAGCAGCGACATCTGAGCAAAAATCTTTTTAGTGTCCTGAGGTCAGAGTTCAACGGTTCGGTAAGTGGAAGGCCACAATCCCGACGGAAACGTAGTTTATCTAACCCCCGTAGATGTCAGCTGCAGCATCAATTGCTACAGTATTTCCCTTTCATAAAGCAAAGCAAATACAGTACTTCGCGAACATGCAAAGTTTCAACATTTCGTTTTACTGAAAGTTGTTCAATCATATGCAACCTGGCGAAAAATTTAAATTTTCTGCATGCATGTTATACAGTATTAAGAAACCATGCAACAAGCAAGCCTATCAAAATTGAAAAAAAGAAGCCACTTTCGTCATTGCTTTTGGGCTAATATATATTTGGTGAATAAAGAGTCCATGTTTTCAGCAGCAATATGATAACAAAAGCAGATTATTCTATGCATCTATGTTTATTTTTGCTCCTTCCTGAAAGACATGCACAGGTATTATCTCCAGAAAGCTCACGCTGAGATAACCAAAGTTTGTTTTCTTACTATCAGCACACGCTTTGGGTGTGTATTTAGCAGCATTCAATGCAAACTATCAAGGATACACACTCAAGAATATCCGGTATCCATTTAATTTTTGAGAGAGATTATGCATTCTTTACCCTTGTTTAAAATTGGTTATAAGCGCAGCTCTTAATCCCCGCTCTGGTTTGAATATACCGTAATATAAGGTGTATTATACTGCCGTTGACATACAGAGGAATGCGAATATTCTGTGGATACGCAAGATTAAGTATGCTTCACACATGCTGCTGTACTGTATTATACATCAGTGGTATATATATAATGTATACACTACACTTCTCCACTATATATATACACTAACAGTAAAATGAGCTGAGATAAAAAAAAACGCGAATTTCTTCCGACGCCATAACAACACATACGCGTACGTGCTTATATACTGTGTATATACCGGCGATCTTTATCATGTACGTTAAATTAAATACTGTACAGTACTTTTTATTAAGCTCTATACTGTTCATGCGATTTATGAAAGTACATCGTGCGTATTTTTACAACTTCAACGTTTCTGCGAAGTGTTTTATATGTGCATATTATTATTGAAGAGTTTTTAGGCCACAAAAAATTGCCCATTGCTGGGTTGTGTGTTTTTTAAATTTTCTTTTGACGGCATTGCAGCGACATTCAATGACTCCACAAAGGAATTTTCGTTGCTCGTGGATGTACAATACACCAAAAAAAATTATCATGCAGAATTTAATTTACTCACGCTTTGGAGAAGAATCCAAAATGACCGTCATTCATCGATTTTATGCGACCTTGAGGATGAAGACCTTCAAGTCACAACGTTATCCGGGCAGATGGTCGAAAATCTATGAACAATTTCATCAGAAAAGTAATAAAATTCATAAACGTTAAAGGTTCTTATCACTCATTGAGAATAAGCGTGCATCAACAGGTGCAATCATATACTGTACAGGTATTCTAGCACAGAATCGCGCCTTTGGACGGAAGCTTAGTTATCAGAGAATGCCCCGACATCTTTTCAGAAAGGTACGCAATCAGAAGACAGATTAGAAATGCCATTACAGATGTCGCTATAACATGGCTCGTCGAATGGAAAAACCTCGCGTGAAGCGCTTTGCATTCGACGAACTAAATATTGTACTGAGGCATCCCGCGGTGCTTCGTCCTGCTTGCTTGTTTCGTCAACTCATATTATACCTTAAAAAGCATACATTCATGCATGTGGAACATGAAAAAAAAAACTACCGGTTCATAAAAACTGGTGACGTCAACAGAAAGTAAGATATATGGTACTGTATGGGTACTCCATTCAGCTGAGGATCACGCCTTCGTGTTGTCTCCGCTCATCAGCGAGGTTTGCAACACGCCATGTCGGGTGATCGATCATCAAATTTTACCTGGACTATATAGGCACAATCCAAAAAGTTTTTCATCGCACAACTTCCTAGGTTCATTCTGAAATCGCCTCTATATAAGCTGTTCTGTACTACCCTCATATATTTTGTGCTCATATAATTTACAGACGAGAAACATAATCATATTACAGTAAAGTACTGCTTGTGCATTGCGAAGTAATTTTATGTTGTATTCCTGCGATCAAACCTCCATCCATAAAAAAATAATAGGCGGTTACACTTTTAAGGACATTCGTAATTTTTTTGTAGGGATGAGTTACGGTAGGAAGTAAAGCTTTCATTTCTTGTCAAGTCATGAAAATGATAATAATTGAAATCGTAGAAAGTAAAACAATATCTGCGAATAACTTGAAAAAAACTCCGCCAGATGTCATTAAAAAATGTCGACTGTATCCCCAAAAATACATAAGTTGTACAGACGTAACAATCCTGTGCTGGGTACAGAATTGGGAAGTCTAATTATGTACAACAAAGCTGCAAGGTAAAAATAATATCCCATCATTAGTACAACGAGATAAAGTTAGTGAATCTTATTTGGAGATCCTGAGACAAAAATTATTTTTATTTTTATCCTCTTATTTTTTAAAGATCGTTGAGAACTAATTCCAATGTAGACGTGGTCCTTGACCAAAAGAATTTGAATCTGCACCTGAAGCTGAGAAACTATTTTCCGCGAATGTTCTCCTGTGCTTAAAATTGAGACTTTGATGCTAATGTAGCGCAGATTTATTTCTTAAATTGTGTTTTTTTTACAAAGTACTGTAATTCAACAGCAGAAACCAGTCTGGGATATGCAAGAGATGTTGAAGAAATCTCAAATTAAACTTGCTTTTATTTTGTCCCAACGAACAAGTCATCGTTTTCCACTCTCATATATTTCACAAAACTAAGCAGTTCAAAGGTCATAACACTTCATAACACTTCGGGCAAAAAAGAAGATTTCAGTCTTTTTATGAATTTTTTATTAGATCACCTACGATATGCGATGTACTCTTTGAAAATTGAATGATGTTAGTATCTTGTAATTGGCCATGCTGAAAGTTGAATCAGATTTTGAAGCGTGGTTTACTGGATTGGGAAAAATTGAGAACAAGATGAGGCTTTAGTTTAGTGCCTTCACAGATTTTTTTGGTTCTTTTGGGGTTTGATTAAAAATTCAATCGCGATTTACCAGATCGGCAATGCATTCCAACAACATCGTGAAAAGCAGCCTAGTTTTCATTCTTACAGTTTCAGTGCGTGAGCATCTTCTTTCCGCATAAGTTAGTAGAAAGGAAAAAGTTTGATGTCCGTCATTCGTATTCAATTTTTCTAAATTTCTGTCCGGAGTTAAAGCAGGTGATGGGATGTGTCATTTAAAATAGTTTCAGATTTTAAAAACCCGCGAAGTTTTGGGTGACGCTCATCAGGCGTCCAGCCCACCTTTCCAAGCGTTTTTCTCGGACCAAATAAAAATAAGAGCACCAAAAATGTTCGCGCCCCGCCACGAATTCCTGAATACCCCAGAGATAATTGCATTTCTTCTGCCGATCCACGGATTTCACAACATCTCCCCCTTCTTCTGAACCCCGGCACGTAATGGGTTCGATTTTACACCTGATCCACGGGGGGCAAGAAGAAGATCTGGTCTGTCTCCCGCGACTCCCCATTCATGCGGGCGCGCGGATGATGGAGGCATCACGGAGTCGTTCATCTCGTCGTCGTTCTATATAGTCACATTACGCAACAGCGCCAGTGTAACCAACGCTGGGTGGTGATAAACACCCCACCGACTGCGTTGGATGCATGAGGCAGTTTTTTGGTTTCCTATTGGTTCATTTTCAGAGGTTCCAGGATAGCCCAACTGTGTAGCTGGAAAATGTACCAGCACATTATTTTTAGGTATATTATTTGTTTCCTAGTTTCTCTGCCCTGATTCTATCTACTCAAGTGCTGTCTGAGGAAGTGGGGACATTTGGTTATCACACCACCAGAGCAGAGTCCAGGAAAATGAATGACTTTGAAGTCAAAGAGAACTTTGCTTTTATTGCTTGATGTTCACTCAGCCACTGCTTATTCCCAAATCAGTGGAAATAAGCATGCTTTTCATTTTAAAGCACTTGCAAAATTTTCATTAAAAAAAAGGTTCCAAAAGCTGGTTATTTAAAGGAAAATCCCCAGCTTGTCTTACAAATGAAGATGTTGTGTTCCTTGTTTCATCCCCTCCTGCTTCTCTTAAATATTCTCAAGCTGCTGGGCATAGCACCTATACTTGCAGGAAAAATACAAAAAAAAGGAAAAGAAGGGGTAACCAAACCTGGCTCAAATGTTTTGCTCCAAGAAGGGGGTGGGAAATTTCAGTAACAAAATAACCTAATTTCCTGCTACTGGTGGTACCTTGCAATTTGTCCTCATCAACCGTTAAATTTGCTTGGAGGTTGACTCACAATTTGACCTCTTCCCCAAAATTTGACAAGTTTTAGCCTTTTTTCTAGTGTTTTTGTGAT